GCCACGCGCACCCCACACACACCCCCCATACACCACACACACCACACACACACACCACACAACACACACACACACCACACACCACACACACACACCACACTCCACACCACACACACACACACACACACATACAACTAATTGACAAAAACTATACACATTTATGGTATATAAAATTACATTCCAGGGCTGGAGAGATGGCTCAGTGGTTAAAAGCACTGCTGTTCTTGCAGAAGACCCAGGTTCGAATCCCAGACCCATAGGGCAGTTAACAACGGTCTGTAACTCCAGTTCCAGAGGATCTGATGCCTTCTGTCCTCTGTGGGCACTGCACGACACAGGTGCACTTACATAAACGCAGGCAATACACATACACATAAAATAAAAATAGTAAAAATTTTAAAATTACATCCAAAAGATGCACACACTGAGGAGCAGCTAACGTGCGCCTCATCACTTCATTATTTGCCGTCTTTATAATGAGGACACTTAGAACCTCTTAGCATCTCTCAGTCCTATTCTCTCCTGCCTCTCCTTTTCTTGGAAAGGGTTTACACATTCTTTCAAGAATGAAGCTCGTTCTACATTCAGGGTTTTTAAATTCAAGAACACAGACAAGGAAAAGCACCAATGAAACGATAGATATGAGAGAATAATGCTGAACTATTTCGTTGGATATGATTCTTAAAAAGAAAAAAGGAGTTAGTAACAACAGCCCACGGTTCTAAGATTTTAAGGTCGGCACCTGATAAAGGAATAAAGTTCAAATAATAAATGTGATAAGGATGGAGATTTTGAGTCACACAGCATGAAGTAAACTTGAGCCACTGGTATCAAGAACACTGCTAACTGTCACCTACATCACTCATAGAACTAAGATGTGCAATGATGATCAGAGAGTCCTAGAGGTAAGACTTCTAATTACTTACCAACTATCACACTTAAAATCTGAACTCAAACCCCAGAATCTGGATTCAAGTCAACGTCAGTACGTTAAACCATCATCCTTTGTCTTGGTGGATACAGATGCAGAATGCAGTATTTCATTCCATAAAATGTTGTTTATCTTACATATGTTATTTAAAACGGAAATGTGTAAGCCAGAAATGGTGGTATGAGACTGTCATAACAACTCCTCTAGACACTGAAAGCAAGGGGGATCAGCTGTGCTGAGGAGTTCAAGACCGGCCTCACCAACAGAGTAAGCCCCATCTCATAAAAACAACAAAAACATGACATCATATAGTTTAATTCAAAATGCCTAACTCAACCCAGCATAGTATCAAATGCCTGTAATCCCAACCCTCTGGAGGCTGAAGCAGACATGCACATCTTGAACTTGAATTTCCAAGTTCAAGCCCAGTTTGGGCTATAGTGAGACCCCCTTCTCAAAAAAAACAAAAAAAAAAATCATAAAGATAACTAAAGATCTATATTCTCAAACATAGATCAAGAGGAATGTATAGTTTCTATCGGGACAGTCACTCAAGCATTAACCAAAAGAATGCTTGCAAAACTGGGTGTGGTGCCCTGTGCCAAAAATCCAGAACTCTGGAGGTAGAGACAAGAAAATACAGAGTTCAAGCCTGCCTGAGCTATATAAGGCTCTGTCTCCAACAAACAAAGAACACATGCCAAAAGATTACCATGTTATTAAGAACGGTAATAAGAAACTGTTGTCATAGTTAAGCAATATTATATTAGAAAATCATTATTAATGAAACAGCAAGGTGCTGTTTCCCCTTGGATCCTGAACATGAGTATTTAAATAGTTGAAGACTTCCTCAGGCTGGTAGGAAAAGTCAGGAGGACACAGGGCTCCCTTTGTGGGCTTCGAAGAGAACTGAGCAAGCATCACATCCTTCAGCCACAGCAGGATGCCTTCAGCATCAGAGGGCAGACACCTAGCACTGCAGGCTGGCCCAGAGCATCCTCCTCAAGGAACACAAGTGGACCAGTGAGCAACGAGCAGAACTCTCCTACAACTTCAGGGGTCTTTCCCTTTAAAAATCTCTTTTGGCAGCAGATACTAGGATTTACTTATTTATTTATGTGTGTGTGTGTGTGTGTGTGTGTGTGTGTACGCACACGTGCGTTAAGTGCACATGTTAAGTGTATGTAGATGTGTACATATGCATGCTTGCATGTATGCCATGTCATTTCTGTGGAGGAATTTTTGGAAGTCAGTTCTCTCCTTCCACCGTGGGTTCCAGGGATCAAACACAGGTGGTCAGGACTGCATGGCAAATGTTTTTATTCATTGAACCTAGTAATTCACCAGCCCTTTTTAAAACAAGAAACGAAACATTTTCTTTCCACAATGAAAAAAAAAAAGCGTCATAATACACTCTTACCATGAGGCAAAAGATCCTGAAAAGGCAGCAGGTTATGTATTTAAGGGCAAAAGGCCAAATTCACGAGGCAAGGTCCAGGTGTGCCCAACCTAGGCCCCACAAGTTACATTCGTCCCAGGATGGTTCTGAGTGCAGCCCAACATATCTGTAGATGGCATGTTCATATGGAAATATCCAAAGCCTGGGAGTGCCTGGGACCTTCTAGGAATTCACACTCGAAACATTTTTTTCACCCAGGCATGAGGAACACCCTCGTATAGGGATAGGAAACACCTGAGTTTCACAAGGCTCCACTGAAGAAGCCCAAGAAAGTATGTAATGTCATTAGCGAAAGAACGTGCACGTGAGGACGTTTATCACAGCCCTGTAAGGATTCTCAACTTTAGAAATGCCAAATGTGAAACATCTGGGACCCGAAGCACTAGTCAGCCTGGCATGTAGCACTGGGAAATGGGGAAGCCTCGTGAAGAGGCACTATGCTCCAGTGCGCAGCAAGATGAGACCTCAAGCCAGATAGGAGAATTCACATATGTGTAGACAACACAGAGCAAAGAATTTCAGATAAGCCGTATTTCTCATGAATCACAGCAAATACCATGATCACAGTATCCTCTGATCCAGTGATGAAGTGACTCTAAGCATAAACATAAAATAGCACAGGTGGCGGGTAACTAGCTGAGCATTTGGTATGGTTAAAACCAAAAAGGATTTGGAGCATATTAATTTCAAGATGGCTTTCTAAACTTACTAGTAACACAGGCTCAAAATAGAGATCAGATCTGTGCATACGCTCTGGTTCAGGCACACATGCTTCCCGGTCGTGTAGCTGACCTTACAATAACTCCACATATAGGAGAGCTCCCCTCAGTAAGTCAGGGCACTGCTAGATCCCTCACAGCCTCTCCATCCACTGGAAACGCCACCAGAGGTCAAAGACTCCAATAGAGCCATCAGACAAAAGCTTCTGTTAAGATACAAACACATCCTGGGAAAGGTAAACAGTTCAACCTCATCTCTTGGTCACTAGGTTCTCCATAGGAGCAGGTCTCGGTACTGAAACTCTTCTAAGTCTTAATAATTGAAAGTGTTTAGTTCAGAAGGAAGAAAGAATGTCTTGTAGAGAGAGGGTGTGGGAAAGGAGGCAGAAGAATCCTTTTTTCCAGTAGTGACAGTCATTCATCAGAAGTTCTGATTGGTCTCAGGTTCTTAATTTTCACCCCCAGTAACCAATAGCACACGAGGCAAATCAAAAATCAATATGCACAGAAAACTTGCTAAGAGTTAAAAATCCACTGGTAACTGTGTTCCAATCATCTTACCAACTGGCCAAGCTATAAATGCATATTTTTATTATTATTATTATTTTGGTCTTTTTGAGACAGGGTCTCCCTGTATCCCCAGCTGTATAAATGCATATTTTTATTATTATTATTATTTTTTTTTTGGTCTTTTTGAGACAGGGTCTCCCTGTATCCCCAGCTGTATAAATGCATATTTTTAAAAAGTCAAATCAATGACTGTGCCCAGTGTAGTCACTATTGAACGAAAACTTTTCTTTATTAAATACAGTAGCTTAATTTTGTCGCTAAAACACAGTTCTGTTCACCCCACGTAGCCCCAGATATTTGGAGGTTTTGTTTGGTTTTTGGATTTGTTTGTTTTGAGACAAGGCCTCACTCAAGCTAACCTCAAACTCGCAATAATCCTCCTGCCTCAGTCTCCTGAGTGCAGGGATTACAGACGTGCAACACCACGCCCAGCACTCTCCAGGACTTTAGAAAATGGGCACAGAAACTAACAACCAAAAAGTGAAAGTCACCATCATCGTTCCAGCAACACGACAGAAAAGTTGACTTTGAACTGCTCAGGACACGCTGTATCCGGTACAAAACTTTCCCTTCTGGGTAGCCATGGAAGTAAATAGACTAAGAACAAACTTTGCCGGCCACCAGCAGGGGAGCCCTTCAGCTTTTGTCCCCAAATCCATTCAAACAAAAGAAGCTCGGTCTCCGGCTTCCCACCCGCGGCCCCTCCACCGCCCGGAGCGCCCGGCCCCTCCCGGGATGCCCGCGCTTACTCCTCAGCGCCCCGATCAGCAGAGAGCCGTCCTTCAGGAGCTCCTTGATGAACTTGTTGGTTCTCTCCAACTCGATCTCGTGACACTGCAGTCGCTCCCTGAAATCCGGGCTGTCCAAGTACGAATCGCTGAACTCCAGGGTGGGCAGCCCCATGGCCCCGGCAGGGCGGCCGCGGGCAGCGGCGGCTGCGGGGATGCCGGCGCCTGGATGCGCTGGGGATGCGGGCGCGTGGACCTGGGGGAGCAGGGAGCGCGCGGGGACCCGGGGGGGGACGCTCAGTGCCGCTGCCCCGAGGCCGGGCGCACGCAGGCGCGGAAGCCGAGGCTCAGGGCGCTGTCAGCGGGGCGCATCGTCGCGGAGCCCGGGAAGACGAGGCTCCGGGCCGCAGCCCGAGGAGCAGGACCGTGGGGCGGCGCCGCTCTCCGGCCGTCCCGACTGTCCCGGGCGCACTGAGCCACCAGCGCCCCGCGGCGACTCGGGCCGGGCAGGGAAACCCGCCCCCTGAGCGAGCGGAGCGCACGCAGCCGGCTGCAGCTCGCCGGGACCCTCCTCCGCGCTCCCCGCCCCTAGCCGTCCCCGCCCGGTCCCCGCCCGCCGCGGGCTTCGCTCCCGCGCCCTGCGCTGCCCTGTAGCCTCGCCCAGGGCGTCCACCCGGTTACCTCCCTGGCTCCCGGCTGCCGCGGGCCTCTGTGACCCTGGGGCTCCCCGCGTCCCCAAACCAGCTCCGACACCCCTGCGCTCCCTCAGGTCAGAGAGAGGCGGTGTGAACGCCCCCGAGGTCTGAGCGCCCCAAGCCTGAGATGGAGGAGTATACTACTTCGTAGCCTTAGTTCAAGCCTTGCTTCGTAGTTAAGGCGTTACTTCGGGATTCCTCGCTGGATGCACTGAATTCCACGAGGAAAAGTTGTCCAGTCTCTTTCCCACGTCCGGGTTTCAGTGATTCCGTTTTGAGGCGTGTTGATACTGTTTCCCAGGTTCTCAGAAGGTCAAGGGCTTCGTAAAGCATCCGGGGGACTCAGGTGCTCGACCTATTTCGCATCCCTATTTTAGTATGTCGTGGCACCTGGATGAGATTGTCCTACAAACCTTGAGATTTTCAATTTGTTGAAATGATCAAGCATTTCACATGAAGTCCGCTCTTTCGAGGCTGAGGCAGGAGGGTTGCAGAGTTCAAGGCCAACCTGGAGGCCATAGGAACACAGAGTGAGACCCTAGCTCAGGCGAAAACATATTTATTCCTACAAAGAGGCTGTTACCTCTGCGGTAGAGGTTCACCTGGGAGGTTCCTGTTCTCTTCAAACTTTAACAGCAAAACAAACTTTTTCACCTCACCTCCAGACTCAGATTTCTGAAAAGTACTTTTCTTAAGGTTCTGCTTTTAATTTCTGCATTTGCCATACTTTGTCCATTTGAACCATCCGCTGAAGAAAAATACGACTACAGGTCTTGGGGGAGAAAAATCCATTGAAGCGCATTACAGTTTTTTCCCAGTTAAATTTCAGGAACTTTTAGTCAATTGTTTTTCAAGCATACATACACATTAACAGTAGCACGTATGCTGTAAAACAGATAAAATCTTGCAAGCAATATGTTTTGATGGCTTGTTTTAAATTCTTCTGGGCCAGGGAAATAAGATTTGAAAAGCTTATTTCTATTTCCTTTATTAGCCCTCAACATGCAAAATGTCTCATCACAATTACGTTGGTTTTATTTTGCTATTACTGCATTTATTGGCGGGGGGGAACATGAACACATAGTACACGTATGGAAATGAGGGAGCAGGTTGCTGGAGCAGGTATGCTCCTTCTAAATGTGAATGCCAGGGATTGAACTCAGGTCATTAAGGCCTGGTGGCAAGCGCCTTTAGTGGCTGAGCCATCTTGCTGGCCCGTAATACAATCATTTTAATTCCTAAGAGTGGAGCTATCCTGTCAATTAAATGTGCCTCATTTGGGAGTCCAGAGGCAGGCAACATTGCTGTTTGCAGCTCACAAAAACATGTGAGGGATAGGAGCTGTTTTTCATCTAAAGGATTTAACATGTATTTATCAGACACACTGAAGGGCAGAAAACCAGCCAGGCCTAACAACCAGGCCTCAGTGCTGGTCCAAACATCTAAATCCAGTACCAAGCGCAGAACTCTGGAACAGGATGAAACAACAATTGATTCTTGATGCTCATTACATCAAAGCCTTCTGATCATTTCTTTGAGAAAATGCAGGAGCACCTCTGATAAGCAGCATTTTGTATGTTGGGTGTCAAACAGTTTGCTGTGAAAGTCTGACGCGCTAGAGCAGATTTATTCTAGAGTCTAACATATGGATTATTTACTCATTCATATAAGGTAGCTGTGTGTTTTCTGCAGACTGAGTGATTGGGGTCAGGGTGAAGTGATTTATATGCAGAAAGATAAAAAAGAGAATTGGGCTGGGGAGATGGCTCAGTGTCTAAAACCCTTGTTGTGCAAGCCATGAGGACCTGAGTTCAATCCCCAGCTCCCATGTAAATGTGGAAGGTGAGAACTGACTTTATAAAGTTGTCTTCTGACTTCCACCTGTGCATTGTGGCATGCACAGTACCTTTACTACTAATAAAGTAATAATAATAGTAAAATTTCAAAAGGAAAAAGAAAACAGGGCATTGTGCTTGACCTTTAGAAATTCTGAGAAAAAGAAAACCCAAAGTCCTAAATCCTGAAGCAGAGATAGGAACACCAGAGCCTGTAGGCACCTCACACTGGTGCCTAATAACCATTAACACCATTATCAATGGGTTTGCACTCAAGCTCATCAATGCACTGCTGTGCAATTAGAACTTTACCTCCTACCCTTCACCTATAGGCTCTAAAGTGGATCACGTTATAAATGGGCATTTTCAGGGTTAGTCATGATGTAGTCTGTGATTCATACTTTAATTATACCTGCTAGTCTAGCTTTCTTTCATGCCACATTAACCCAGCTACCCGAGAGACACCAGAAATGGTTTGGCTTTGAGGTGAATTTACTGACGGTTTTGAACTGTTGTTGGCTGTCCTATCATCATAAATGAACCAGATTCTTTGCTAGAGAGAGGGGCTTTAAAGCTCTCTAAATTAAGATCTCACTTGAGATTGTTTGAAATGGAGCCTTTGCAAAGATTTCCACTCTTGAACTACGTGGCACTGTTGGCGGCTTGGTAAGACGCACAGGTTTTCTGGTTTGGACACACCCCGGCATGGTTATTGACAGTGAGACATCTGTTTTCTTCATTCAGAATGGGGATGTAGAAGGGCTTTGTATGTTTACATTCAAGAGCAAATAGGTGGTAGGGGATGGTGAGCAAACATGGTATTTGTAAATTGACTAAAAAACTCTCTTCTTGATCTCAAAAGACTCCCCCAGAAGTGTTTCTGTGAAGCTATTAGCATTTTTCAGTTACTGAGAATAGGCTCTTTTTAAAAGATTTTTAATTGTGTGTGTGTGTGTGTGTGTGTGTGTGTGTGTGTGTGTGCGCGCGCGCGCACGCGCGCATGCACATGCACTGCGTTGCTGTGGGGGTTTGTACACATAAGTGTAGGTGCCCACAGAGGCCAAGAGAGGGTATCAGGTTCCCTGGAGCTGGCATTATAGGCGGTTTTAAGCCACCCAGTGTGGTGCTGGGAACCAAACTTGGGTCCTCTGCAAGAGCAGTATGTGCTCCTAACCACTGAGCAGTCTCTCCAGGTCCTGAGAACAGACTTGAACCTCTGAGTCACAGATCTTCTGAGGCTTCCCTAAAGCACGTGAGTGAAGAGATAACCAAAGCTTGAAGAAGGGTGGAGACACCTCAGCCTTTCCTGGCAGGAGAGCACAGAGGCATGTCCCTGCCTCAGCTCCCGGCCTGTGTTGTCTCTCCTCAGACTCCCTGAGAGTAACTTTTACATCATTCCACTTCGTGCTTATATCATGCCTAGGAAAGCAGGACTGTACCCAAATGAAAAAATAAATTCAGTTCTTAAAATCACTCACTGTGATTAAATGCTGGTAAAATGTACCATCGTACCCATGTGTAAGTGTGAGCTCAGGACTGTTAAGCAAGCGTGCTTCCCTCGCGTGTGGGGCAGTCATCACTACCTCTCATTTTCAGAACGTTTTCATCTTCACAGTCTCAAACTCCTCCGGATCCAAGAAGCAGTGAGTTCTGTTACCTCCCAGTCCAGTAATGACCATTCTGTTTTCTGTGCCTGGTTTTGGGTTCTTCACTCAAAGCGGAAGTACACACTGCCCTTGTGTGTCTGCCTTGTTTTACCTAGATAGCTCAGTCCTTGGTCACAAGTCCAAAGATGTAGCAAAGTGAGTTCATTCCTTCCACCAGGTGGGGCCTGGGGTCTAACTCAGGTCCTCAGACCTAAGTGCCTTCACACATCTCACAGGCCCCTACGTTCAGAATTTATTTTAAGATTTATTTTAATTTAACCACATGTAGGTGTGTGTCTCTGTGTCAACCATGTGTGTACAGGTGTCTTGGAGGCCAGAAAATGGCATTCAATCCTCTGGAGCTGGAGTTACGGGTGATTATGAGCCACCCGATATTTAACAAGATGTGACTCAAAATAGTTAACTTAGGGCTGGGGGATGTAGCTCAGTTGGTGAAATGCTTGTTTAGCATGCTGGAATCCTTGGGTTTGATTCCCCAGCACCAAATAAACCAGGCATGGTGGCAGTGCTTATAGTGCCAGCACTCAGGAACTAGAAGCAGGAGGATCAGAAGGTCAAGGTCATCTTTGGTTGTGTAGTGATTTACAGGCCAATCTAGAATAAAAGAGACCTTGTCTAAGAACACTATCTGCTCTTCCAGGGAACCTAGGCTTAAATCCCAGCATCCACATGTTGGCTAACAACCGTCTGTAACTCTGGTTCCAGAGGATCAGACCCCTCTTCTGGCCTGCATGGGCTCTGCACAACACAGGTGCTTTTACATACATGCAAGCAAAACACTCATGTACATAATATAAAAATAAATAAATAAATAAATACATAAGTAAATACATAAATTTATTTTAAGAGAGATTTCCCCTCAGGTCTATCTTTTTAAAAAGGCCACCCTGGGGCCTGAAAAGATGGATCAATGGTCAAGAGCACTGGCTGTTCTTGCAGAGGACCCAGGTTCGGTTCCCAGCACCCACATGGTGATTAACAGCCATCCCTAACTCCAGTTCCAGATACCCT